ATGCCGCCATCTTAGTTTCTCCAGATTAATGGCTTTTAACACAGCAGACTATGTAAGTTTATTGACATGGTTTCAGATTCCACATTACACATAACCTTTAAGAAATCATCATTTTTGAGTTTTGGTATTGTGTCAAAAAAGAGCATCCAATATTACTGGAAAAGTCTATTAAAATACAGTACTCTTGAACCCTAACTGGTTTGGCTCAGTGGATAGAGCATCAGTCTGTGGACTGAAGGGTCCCAGGTTCAATTCCTGTCAAGAGTACATGTCCAGGTTTCGGGCTCGATCCCCACTAGGGGACATGCTGGAGGCAGCCGATCAATGATTCTCTCTCATCATGGATGTTTCTATTTCTCTCTCCCTCTCCCTTCCCTTCTGAAATCAATAAAAAATATATTAAAAACTTTTAAAAATACAGTACTCTTTCTGTTTCCAGCTGCATATTTCTGAGAGGCTGGATTTTCTTCATATACTTCAAGTTGAAGTTTTCAGCCCAAACAGCATATCCCAATAGATTAAATGCAGAATCTAGCTCTCTTCTATAAGCCAACATTAAAGATTTGTAAAATTAGGAAATGATTCTACTCTTTTCACTAGTGTGTTTAGAAAATAATTTTTTCGTTAAAGCTATGTTATTTATATTACTACTTAATGGGTCTATCATTGTGATTATTAAATGGGTTTAAAAATATTAAAATTTTTCTTAGTTTTAATTTCTATTTGGAAAAATATAATCACCTATGGAAACAAAAGCTCTTTGACATCCACCATAATTTTTACATATGTAAAGGGATTCTGACACTAAAATATTTGAGAACTATTGCTTGGACCATTATTCCTTTTAAAAAATATATTTTTTATTTATTTCAGAGAGGAAAGGAGAGGGGGAGTGAGAGAGAAACATCAACAATGAGAGGGAATTATTGGTTGGCTGCCTCCTGCACACCCCACACTGGGGATAGAGGCCAAAACCCAGGCAAGTGCCCCAACTGGGAATTGAACTGTGACCTCCTGGTTCATAGGTCAATGCTCAACCACCAAGCCACACCAGCAGAGTTGGACCATTATTCCCGAATACTAGAAGAGCTGGACACTAGAATGATCTGGGGAGCTTTTAAAAAATACCAAGGCCTGAAAAAAAAACAAATAAACAAACAAAATTCATAAAATACCAATGCCTGGCCCCATCTTAGATAAATTAAACCAGAATCTCTAGGTTTGGAGCCAAGCCTGGGCATTAATATATACATATGTATATTTTCAAACTCCCCAGGTAATGCTAATGTACATTCAGGATTGAAAAACTATTTCCCTACTGTACTGTTTTCCAATTTTGCCCAATCGTAAGAATCATCTGAGACATTTGTTAAATATTAGCAGTCCCAGTTGCCTTCCTAGATCTAAAGAACCAAATCTCCACGGCAAGTGGCTGGAAAATCTGCCTATTTAATAAGCACCTCAGGTAATTCTTAAAATGAGACAACTTTTGGGAAACATTGCACCATTCTCTTCCCAACCTCCTCATTCCTGATGGCAGGCTAGTTAAAGCATTAGTTGCTGGTGAAGTCATTACTCAACTAAATTCAGCTCACAAAGTTTGAAGCACACACCTTAAAACTTCCCCTGGGAAATTACCTTTTAATGTGAGATTTTGCATGCAGAAATGACTTTAAAATTTAAAAGAATAAAGACAAATTAGTTAATTATTTGGCAAGGTACTATTCTTAAAATTTTTTAAATTGATCTGATAGAGGGAGAAAAAGGAGAGAGAGAGAGAAAAACATTGATTTGTTGTTCCACTTACTTCTGCATTCATTGTTTGACCCTTGTATGTCGCCCTGACCGGGGATCGAACCTGCAATCTTGGTGTATCGGGCAAGGCTCTAACCAACTGAGCTACCCGGTCATAGCACCAAGGTACTGTTCTTATATGGAGGGACTTTTCTCCCAGGTCACTCAAATTTCATGCAGTTTTCTGGGAAGTAACTCTATACAATTGGGTTGAGTAAGTGAATTCCGCATTGGCAGCTGACTCCTCAGCCCAAGTGTGCCGAGAGACCTGTCAGAAGACTGGCAAGAACCAGTTTTTCTTGATTGTCTTGTACCCAGGATAAAAGCTTTGTAAATACAATTTCATTTCCTCGTCAATTGTAAGAGGACAAGTAGATCCAAGGAGGGGTTCAAATGGATAATCTTGGAGTGAGAACCAGAAAGTGGTTTATGGGAATCACAGTGGAGAAGTGAAACATGCTCTCAAATTCCTACTTTTTATCTTTGGGTAAAACAGGAAGAAGGCTCCGCCAGTATTAAATGGTAATTTCCTGTCTGCACTGCCACAGTCATTCTTTTTTCTGGTCAGAGAAAGAAAGAAATCACTTAATTATGACTGAGTGGAGGTAGAGATTGAACCGTATTAGTTTTTACTTGCTAACTGCTTAATGCCTGCCTGGCTCGTAATAAATGCTCAATAATAGTAGTGATCACTTGTCTAGAGCTCAATGTTAAAAAGTATAAAAATATTAATAATTCTACATACACATTTCTTTAATGTAGCTTGTGTTCAATGAGGCTCATACTAAAAATTTATAAAAACCGGTAAGAAAAACTAAGTTCTGCCAGAAAAGATAACCCTATAGCTGAAAACAGTATTTTCCTCTGGGGAGTGAAAAAACATGTAATAGTACATACTCTTTTAGCCATGAGCAGCTAGTTCATAGACTTTTTAAAATGACAAGTTTAAATTTTGAATTACATAATCATACAAGTGGAGGCCTTGAAGGTATCTTGGAGACCTCTCTCTCCCCATTAATGCCAACTCTCAGAATAGTTCCAACTTCCTCTTCATTGTTACGTAAAAGTGGCAGTTAGAAAAGAGGCAAAATCTTTTTTTTTTCTTTTCTTTTTTTAAATATATTTCTTTATTGACTTCAGAGAGGAAGGGAGAAAGAGAGATAGGAACATCAATGAGGAGAGAATCATTGTTTGGCTGCCTCCTACACACCCCCTACTGGGGATTGAGCCCGCAACCCAGGCATGTGCCCTTTGCCGGAATCGAACCTGGGACTCTTCAGTCCGCAGGCTGATACTCCATCCACTGAGCTAAGCCAGCTAGGGTGGCAAAATCTTTTTTAAAAATGTATTTTTATTGATTTCAGAGAGGAAGAGAGAGGGTGAGAGAGAAAGAAACATCAACGTTTGTAATACCTTAACTAATAATTAAAAAAAGAGAGAGAGAGATTTACAAGCTTTGTAAAAAAAACAAACAAACAAACAAAAAAACACATCAACGATGAGAGAAAATCATTGATTGGCTGCCTTCTACACGCCCTCCTACTGGTGATCGAGCCCACAACCTGGGCATGTGCCCTTGACTGGAATCAAACCTGGGACCCTTCAGTCCGCAGGCTGATGCTCTATCCATGGAGCCAAACCAGCAAGAGGTAGAATCTTTTAAAAGCTTTTTTTAATTGGAGAGAGAGACAGAAATATCGATTGGCTGCCTCCTGCATGCCCCTCCCCCACCAGAGATTGAGCCCACAACCTGGGCATATGCCCTGATTGGGAATAGAACCAGCAACCTTTCGGTGCACGAGAAGATGTCCAACTGAGCCACACCAGACAGGACTGGAGGTAGAATCTTTTGAACATGGGTTGACCATGTGATTTGCTTTGATCAATGGGATGTTAGCAAATGTGATATAAGCAGAGGCATGAAAAACACTGGTTCACTGGGGCCTTCCACTTTGGTGCTCTTATTACTTAAACTCTTGAAATATGCTTTATATCTGCTAACCCTTCCAGTGCTAGGTTTTAAATCCTATTAGAAATATTTCTGTAGTTTAACACAACAGAAATTAATGAGTTAATCCAAAGTAATTTTATAGAAATATGTTGTCAATTAATTTTTCCTTTCCAGTTTTATTACTATTTAACTCACTAGTCTTTGATCTTGTGTTATTGGAGGAGTGTCCTCTGTGTCCCCACCTGTTGCCTGGGGAAGTGGGCTACTTGTGATGTCACAAGAAAAGGAATTTTCTGAGACTTACATGGGAGAATGAGTGATATTTATTTGTGTGGAACAAAACCCCCGGATTTCCAAGATTTCCTCTCCCTCCATCCTGCCATGGGCGAAGTCCAGCTGTGCCTTTAGCAGAGTTAGGATGAAAGCCATTGTCCAGAGCTTCTGTTCCATATTTGCAGAATCTGGTCCCGCATCAGGTTTGCTAGGTTGGTGTTCCCAGCTGTAGTCCATTGTGTGTGGGGTCCGCATGGGCTTCTAGGGCCACATGGCTATGGAGGTAAGCACGAGTGAGTGCAAGAAAGCAGGAGCACAGCCAGAGGAACATGAGAGGAAATTCCTTTCTCTGGGGATCTTAATCTAAGTTTTTGCATGCTTGCATTGGCTCCACCCCCTCTAGCCAATTTCCTTCCCTACGTCACCACAACTTACTGCACATGTGCTCATCTTCCTCTTTGTCCAGTCCCTTCCCCCAGTGAACTGCAAGGAATGGACTAGTGGTTCCCTGGGGAGTGTAAAATTGCAGCTTCCTGGTAAAGCTTCCCAGATGGCCAGGCTTATAATGTCTGGCCTCCATTTTGCTCCTTTCCTAGTGTTAGAAATAAGGCGAGTCCCCCAAACCAGGGTCCCTGGTAGAACACAAAGGATACTCAGGAGCCAGACAGCAAGGCAAATAAATATGTGTACTCCTGCAGGAGGGTGTGCACGCACATCGTCTGGGAACACACACACTGAGCTGGCAATCCACCGGGCTTTTTATTCCTTACGCATGGCATCTGTCTCTCACAGTCTTTCTTGATTGGCTCATTTAAAGGGAGGGGTTGACCTTTGCCATTTCAAAATGGCAACCCCCAGGGGAGCTGCAAGTCATGCAGGCCAAATTGGTGGCTGCCTAAACTCCCTTCTTTGACAGAAAAGATGACTTGTTTTACCTCACACTATTAATAGCAATATGCACAACACCTAAAAACTGTTATTTGTGCTGCTTCACCAGCACAAATACTAAAATTAGAACGGTATGGAGAAGATCAGCATGGCCCCTGAGCAAGAATGTCACACAAATTCATGAAGCATTCCATATTTAAAAAACAAAACACAAAAACCCCAAACAAACATAAAAACTGTTATTTATCTTTTTTCATGTACAGGGATAAGCAAAAGTAGGTTTACGGTTGTGAGTACACCAGAGTTTATTCTTGTATTATTATCAATTACTGTATTATAACTGTAGACCTACTTTTGCCTACACCTGTATATGTCCAATTCCTACCATTATACTACTAATAGAGGCCTGATGCACGAAATTTGTATGTGAGTAGGGTCCCTAGGCCTGGCCAGCGATCAGGCCAATCTGTGCGGTGACCCGCGGGGCGATTGGGGTGGCCCTGTTAGCACCTGCCTTGGCCAGCCTAGCACTGCTTGCTCACCAACCCCACCCCCGGCTGCCAGTTGCCGGCTGGCTCCTCCCCCCAATCGCCCGGGCAAAGCAATTGAGGGGTGGTTGGGGGGTGGCCTGCTTGCCAGCCAGCCCCACCCCCTGCTGCTGCCATTGGTCACCTCCCTCTACAGGGCGACCAGCTGGGCAATTGGCTGGCCTGGGGCCTGTGGGCTGCGGGCAGCTCTTGTATTGAGTGTCTGCCCCTTGGTGGTCAGTGCACGTCATAGTGACTGGTTATTTCAACAATCGTTCGGCCTTTCGGTCATTTTGCATATTAGGTTTTTATTATATAGGATTGATTTCCAAAGGGTAGAAACTCTTCCTCATCTCTCAAAGTGCTCTGTACAAGATCTTGTATATAATACATAGAAAACAGTGCTTTAGATTTTCTTTTTCTTCTTCTTCTTTATATTTATTTATTTATTTATTATTTATTTATTTATCTATTTATTTATTCTTTATTGATTAAGGTATTACATATGTGTCCTTATCCTCCCATTGGCCCCCCCACGAGCCCAATCATGCCCTCACTCTCACTCCCTGTTGTCTGCGTCCATTGATTATGCTTATATGCATGCATACAAGTCCCTTGGGTGATCTCTCCCCCTTACTCCCACTTTTTTTTTTTTTATTAAAAAAACAACCACACCTGAGTCCAAATTCCTGGCACTTACTCGCTGTGCAACCTTGGGCAAAAGAATGAATTTTTCTGAAAGCCAAACTTTCCTTATTTAACAAAACCGTACTTTCTAGGGTTATTTTGAATTAAATGACATAAATGAAACTTTCTAGTCAGTGCTACACACAAAGTAGGTATGCTCTATATAAAAACTTTTGCTATGATTAAAGCCTCATGTTAAGATAAAAAATACAGGTACCTTAAGACCTGGCTGCTCAAAGTGTGGTCCTATGCAGATGCACGCATTGTCATCCCTGGGAGACTGCTGAAAAACTAGAATGTCAGGCCCCACCCCGGACCTATTGAATGCGGATTTTAACAAGATTCCCAGGTGATTCATATGCATGTCAAAATTTGAGAAACACTGCCTTAAAAGACAAAGTAAAGCCAAGAGATCTGTAAATTGATTTGACATGATATCTTGGCAATTAAGCACACATATCCAATGGATTAGATCCTCATCTAGTCTCCGTATTTGATGGGAATTTCTGATAAGGAGACCTCAAAATAAAGTTTGCATCATTATATGCATCATAGTAATTCCTCCAGGGGAATTGATAGAAAATACTTCTTTAAACTTCAAAACCAATGAATCAATTTCTACTAAATGTGAATACAGAGGGACTTGTAGGTTTAAAACTTATCTTGAAAAGTGTTGTGTTTTTTTTTTTTCACTAGCCTCAACATTTTTCTTTTCATCGTTAGGAGTTAAAGAGCAAGGAAAGAGTTATAAAGAATAGAAATTATTTTGTTGTTGCAAATGGTACTTGCAAATAGAAGTTGCTTAAACACAACTAGCTCTTGAATCTATAATACAATGTACACATCGTTTGACATTTATTTTAATGGGACAGGAACCAAAAGAGGATTTGATGTGGCCAGGAGGAGATAGTGGTGAAAAATTTCTATCCCAGGAGCTTCTCCACAAAGGGAGGAAATCTGGAGATTTGAGGGCTCAACAGCGCTATTTTCACTTCCCTGTTGATTTGTGAAATAATGTTATTTGGGCTTAAGTTTTAGTTTCTTCTCCATATGTCTCATGAGTCCCTGGTTACTTTTATAAACATGAGTCAGTACAAAGGCATGATAAAAATAGAATCAAGGGAGGGGGGGGGACTAAGAAGAAACATTCCAAAGAGAATGTCAATTTTTAAAAATCTGCAACTTTCTCTGGAGTGGTAGAAACTTCTTGGCTTTGGAGTATGTAATTCTTCCTTCAGAAATCTACCCAAATTGCACAATCTGGTGGAATTAGAGCTATTTTTTTCTCAGCCCTTTTACCTTTGGGCTAAGATCTAAGAACTAGCTGTTTGATTGGCTCTCATGAAGGATCCCATGAACTTCTAACCACTGCTTGGTGACAAACTAAAGTTTTCGTTAATAGCATGAGTGTAGAGCAGTATTTATTTATTTATTATTTTTAACACATTTTTATTGTTTTCAGAGAGGAAGGGAGAGGGAGAGAGAGATAGAAACATCAATGATGAGGGAGAATCATCGACCGGCTGCCCCTGAACACCCACCACTGGGGATCGAGCCTGCAACCTGGGTATGTGCCCTTGACCGGAATCGAACCTGAGACCCTTCAGTCCGCAGGCCGACGCTCTATCCACTGAGCAAAACCAGCTAGGGCTGTAGAGCAGTATTTAAACTGCTTGGGGCTTTTGCCTTCCAAAGCCATGTTCCTAAATTAATCAGGCTGGAGAGGAAGATGAATTTGGGGAGCCCACTATCACTTTTGGATTTGAAGTGTTACTATGTTCATTCTTTGTGTGATAGCTCAGATTATGTAAAAATGCAGAAACAACTAAGGAGAAGGGAATCCCTCTGATATCAAAATCCAGTTTTACCCTATTAATTAATATATCCTTTTCACTTAATTCAGTCTTTTAGAGAGGCACAAATAAGAAGAGATACTAAGAGATCCAACTTTGTCTTCCTTCTTTTACAAGTCTGAAAGGAAGACAAAAGAAAGGATAATGAGATAGACAGGTTTTGGGTAGAAACTGATGCATGAAAATTGAGAGTCCCCACAGATTTGGTTGTGTCTTTGGCCTCCTGGTCTTAACAAAATAAATATTTGCAGAGTTTGTACAAATATTCATTTGTGTGAAATGCAAAGAATAGGTAAACAACATCAGGAAATTCTCAGTTGCTCAACTAAGGAACAGAACAAGTATTTTTTTCTCTTCCAAGACTAATTTATGATAGAGGAAGTAAAGCATTATCTTGACTTGAGGAGGAAGTGTCTCTGCTCCTAAAACCTGAACATCAGATTAAGGGGAGAGGTAACTGGTTAACAGAGAAAATATGAAAACTAGGAAAGAGGAGCAGAAGTGTGTAAAAATGGGCAAAAAGAAGCAAGAACTTGTACCAAAACTCTGTCAAGAGTTTCCAGGGTAATTTATTTTGGAGTTAATAATAAAGATTTGTATTTTGATGTCAGGGATTTTTGCTAGATCATTAAGTCAGAGAATGTCAAGTAATAGCAAAGACTGACAATTAGAGAACAGAAACCAAAACAGTTCATGGGACTGTCAATTCCTCAAGTATTCAGGTACTTGCCTTGCTACCTCTGATTAATGCCAACTATAGGGTAATAGCCAATAAGGATGAGTTATTCTATACACTATACATTGCCTTAAAATGAAACATATGGGATTAAATTTAATTTGCCCCCTTAATTTATATCATATTTCAATTTTGAATGATTTTTCAATGGACAAAATTTCAAAATGGTTCAGAAACATTATGAATGCAGTAATCATATTATTTGATGCTGAAATGAAAATCCCTGAGGTGGAAAATGGGAGTTATTCAAGAGCAAACAGTATATATTACAATCAATTATATTCTAAGTAACAAAATTTCTAGTGCGCAACAAGCCATTACAGCTTCATAGGAAATCAGAATGTTGTAGTTAATAAAGCAATTATAATCTGTCATCCTGTCCTCAAGATAAGCAGTACTGCCCTGGAGCTTACCTTATGGATTTCTTTGGTGTAAATTAGACCTACTGAAGTATAACCAAGAATTTTAAATGTCATATTAATTTTACTCTCTGGAATATGTAATATGTTCCTAAATTCCTATATGTTCAAGTTAATTTTTATAGAATACCAACTAAAATTAATCTTCTGCAGAGGAAATGCATTAAAACTTCATATATAATTTCTGTAATTGTGTCTGCAGGAAATATAAAAATGACTAAGATAAACTGAAAAATGAATATGGGTAAATGGAGTTGTGCCTTTAAAGATGTTATGTTATACATTACTTTGAAAAAGTTTATTTTTATACCTTTATGACTGCTATATGGGCATTAGGGCTTTTACTTTGCTCACTTTTCCTAGAGGTACAGATCAAATTCAGTTATAAACTACTCTGATCTGTTGAGTTAACTTGGCAGGTATTAGCGACTAATTGTTTGCAGAGATCAGGGATAAGGTGAAAACAGAGATTTCAACATACTAATCTTGGGCAATGCTATAAAGATAAGTAAGCATGTGAATTTTGGGATCAAAGATTAATTTTTTTAAAGAAATTATGTGAGCTTTTATATGCATAGCAGTCAAATATCCACTAATGAGAATCTGGAGATAATAGGAGAGAGATGCCAATACTGGAGGTACCGATTCACAGGTGATCCAAAGAAGATAATGGAACATATGGCAAATGATGGGTTTACTATTCAGCTATGAGGGGAAAAAGCAAGACTTTCAGTTCTAGGAATAGAAAGCTGATAGGGGTCCATTTTAAAAGCATAGAAATGCCCTAGCTTGTTTGGCTCAGTGGATAGAGCGTCAGCCTGTGGACTGAAGGGTCCCAGGTTCGAATCTGGCCAAGGGCACATGCCTGGGTTGCGGGCTCAATCCCCAGTAAGAGGACCTGCTGGAGGCAGCCAATCAATGATTCTCATCATTGATGTTTCTCTCTCTCTCCCCCTTTTCCTTTTCTCTCTGAAATCA